CCAGCCACCCTGTGCAGGATACTGGGTGCCCTTCCTGGCTCCACTCACCCTCCTCTTTTTTGTTTTTTTTGTTTGTTGGTTTGTTTTTGAGACAGAGATTTGCTCTTGTTGCCCAGGCTGGAGTGCAGTGGCACAATCTCAGCTCACTGCAACTTCCGCCTCCCAGGTTCAAGTGATTCTCCTGCTTCAGTTTCCTGAGTAACTGGGATTACAGGCATGTGCCACCACACCCGGCCAGTTTTGTACTTGTAGTAGAGACAGGGTTTCTCTATGTTGGTCAGGCTGGTCTCAAACTCCCGATCTCAGGTGATCCGCCCACCTCAGCCTCCCAAAGTGCTGGGATTATAGGCATTAGCCACCGTGCCCAGCTGTTTGCTTTTTTTGAGACGAAGTCTTGCTCTGTCGCCCGGGCTGGAGTACAGCGGCGTGATCTCACCTCACTGCAACCTCCATCTCCTGGGTTCAAGGGATTCTCCTGCCTGAGACTCCTGAGTAGCTGGGACTATAGGCGTCTGCTACCACACCCAGCTGGTTTTTATTTTTACTTTTTTTTTTTTTTTTTTTTGAGACGGAATCTTGCTCTGTCGCCCAGGTTGGAGTACAGTGGTACAATATTGGCTCACTATAACCTCCGCTTCCTAGGTTCAAGGGATTCTCCTGCCTCAGCCTCCCAAGTATCTGGGATTATAGGCGCCCACCACCATGCCTGGCTAATTTTTGTATTTTTAGTAGAGACAAGGTTTCGCCATGCTGGCCAGGCTGGTCTTGAACTCCTGACCTCAGGAGTGATCCGCCTGCCTTGGCCTCCCAAAGTGCTGGGGTTACAGGTGTGAGCCACCGTGCAGCCCACTTTCCCTACTCTTACCTTGCTCTCCTGAAGTGTCTGAGGGGTCTGTGATCCTTCAAATAATCTCCTTTGCCTCTTAAATCACCTGGTGTTTTGTTTTGGTGCTTGTGGCTAAGGTTGCTGGCCAGGATGCTTTCAGAGCCCTGGTGTGTGGAGCTGTAAGATGGCCATATTATGTTAATTGATCCCACTCTCAGCATCTCTGCAGAGACCCTTGAAATAAGTCATGTCCAGCCTCAGTGCTAGGGCTTAGCAAATGCAGGGGTGAGGGGCGATGTCTGAGTGTGGGTTTCATTTTACAGAAAAACACTGGAAATACCTGTCAGAAAATATTAACAGTTATGCTGGGCGTGGTGGCTCACACCTGTAATCCTAGCACTTTGGAAGCCTGAGGAGTGAGGATGGCTTGAGCCCAGGGATTCGAGACCAGCCTGGAAAACATAGTGAAACTCCATCTCTACCAAAAATACAAAAAATTAGCTGGGTGTGGTGGTGCGCGGCTGTAGTTCCAGCTGCTCCGGAGGCTGAGGTGGGATGATGGTTTGAGCCCAGGAGGTGCAGGTTGCAGTGAACTGAGATCGTGCCACTGCACTCTAGCCAGGACGACAAAGCGAGACTCTGTCTAAAAAAAAAAAAAAAAGAAAGAAAGAAAATATTAATAGTTATTAGCTCTGGATAAAGAATTGTGGGTGAGTTTAATTTACAAATTTTTATGATTTTGCTTTTCTGTATTTTCGAACTTTCCTACAAGTTGTGACATGTGATTTAAACCGAAAAATAAATAAGTAATGTTTTTCTTCCTGATGCCTTTCCCTTAACTCTTCTGGCTGGGATGCGCCAGGATGGACCAGGCTTCTGGGGAGACAAGGAGGACAAGGAGGCCGGCCCAGGTCTGCCGGGAGATGCTGCTGGATGCTCCCCAGGCTCCCATAAATGCCTCGTAACAGTAAGGCATGGGCTGGGCAGGAAACGCCGAGGAAGCAATTCTGCTTATTTAGGGGAGTAGGTGGGGGCAGGGGACAGGCCACACTGCTGCAGAGGGCGGGGGGAGGGGAAGTGTTTCCCCTGACAGCAGAGCCGTTCAGATGAAGCTGGGCTCCCCAGGGTTCCTTGCTCAGCCTGACCTGGCTCTGGGTGCCAAAGGAAGGAGGCAGCTGGAGGCATGGAGGTGGGGGGCAGCTGCGGCCACCCAGGAGGGGAGTGGATGCCTGATGCCTGCGCAGGGCTGCCTGGCTTGGGGGTGAAACACTGGACTCCAGCATCAGGCAGCCCTGGGTTCAACTCTCGCCTCTGCTTCTTAGAAACTGTGACCCCAGGCAAGTGACTTTGCCTCTCCCAGCCTCCACTTACCCCTCTGTAAAATGGGCATGACAATCCCTTCCTCCGGAGGCAGTGAGTCTCAATCTAGGACGATTTTGCCCCCAATTTGGCAATAACTGGAGGCACTTTGAGTTGCAACAACTGGGGACAGGGAATTTGGCAATTACTGGAGGCACTTTCACTTGCAACAACTGGGGACAGGGCACATCGAAGTGCCACATGGAAGCCAGTGATGCGGCTGCACATCCCACGTGCACAGGGCAGCCCCCCACCCCCTGCCATGGAGAATGACCCAGCCCCCAAGGTCAATGGTGCCAAGGTTGAAAACCTTGCCCTCGGGTGCAGGTGAGGGTTAATGCAGTAATGCAAACACAGCGCCTGGGGGTGCGGTGATGATGATCCAAGCCGCACAATGGGAGCCTTTTCCTCCTTACCTCCCAGAACCAGATGTCAAAATATGAGCTCTGGGGACAAGGGTGTGCCATTTTAAGAGAGAATGGTCTAGGACTTTTGGCTCCGCCGACCTTGTTTTCTCCTTCTCCTGCTGCCTGGAATATGTCAGAGTTTTTCCAAATGGCCACTGGCAACATTCCGTCCACCCTCTGGGGAGGTCAGGGCCTGAGTGTGTCCCTGGGGACTGGGACTGCCACTCTGATTTACAATGAGCTCCACATCCCCGGTCCTGGATGCACAGGCCGGTGCCAGAAGAGCTGACACAGAGCGGGCCCAGCTGACAGAGGTCAAGGAGGACAGAGTGGGTGCCCACAGAGGCCCCTGCCTCCCAGACCCCTCAAGGGTATTCGGGGACACATCCAGGGTGACATAAAGAGGTATGCCCTCTGCACCACCGTGTGGGCCTCTTCACAGCCCCCAGCTGCCCACCTTCTGCACCAGGGGCTTCTACTGCAGCCCTCATGCCAGCCTGGCACTGGTGCCTGACAGAGGGTGACCCACTTGCCTCCAGACAAGAACAGTGCTGGGATGTCATTGACGCTCCAGGGTCCCCAGCCTGGTGGATCGGACCAGGGCTGGCCACTGGGGTTGGGCCCTGCTGTCCCTGTCTCAAGTTCTGCCTCTAGTTCTGCTTCTAGGTGATACTTTATCATCTTGATGACTAGGAGGAAGCACCTGCTGTTTACTGACTGCGGCCAGTGGATCGGACCAGGGCTGGCCACTGGGGTTGGGCCCTGCTGTCCCTGTCTCAAGTTCTGCCTCTAGTTCTGCTTCTAGGTGATACTTTATCATCTTGATGACTAGGAGGAAGCACCTGCTGTTTACTGACTGCGGCCAGTGCTGCTTTTCTCTGGGGTGAGTTCTGCTCGGCTGCCCTGTGCTCACTGGAAGGCAGGGGCAGTCCTGTTCTGGACAGAGGTGGACTCCTCAGCCTGAGTCATGGACAGTCCTCTTCCTGGTGACTTGAGGGTCACCACAGGGGACTGCGGCCAAGGAAGGGTGGGTTTCAGCCTCTCTGGCCTTAGAGGACTCAGGGGGCCCATATGCCAATCAGGGAGGGTCACAAGAACTTGGAAAGTGTGCATGGAACAGAAAACCCAAATTCTAGTGTTTTAATCACATCAACGTTTATTTTTTTTTCTCACACAGTAAGACACGCAGGTGGTGCGGTGGCTCACACCTGTAATCCCAGCACTTTGGAAGGCCAAGGCCGGAGGATCACTTGAGCCTAGGAGTTCGAGACCAGCCTGGGCAACATAGTGAGACCCCAACTCTATAAAAAATAAGTAGATAAATAAAAGCAGTGCAGAGGTTGCAGCCAGGGCAGGTGTCCCAGGCGCTGCAACTTCCACCCCCAGCTCCACCCTTCACTGTCCTGAGGGTGACACTTTTACGCTCAGTATCTCAAGAAGGCTCCTTCCCCATCCTGCTGACTGAAGAACTGAGGGAGGGATAAGAGAGAAAAAACAGAGCCACAAACTTGGACAACTGAGGCTTTGTGGGGTGTGGAGGAAGGCATGACTTTTAAGGAACTTTCTGGAAGCCCCACCCATCACTCCTGCTTACATCTCACTGCTCAGAGCTGTGTCCCCTGGCCACTCCTATCCACAAGCCCCAGAGAGGTGTTTTATTTTATCTGGGTGCTTTGGGTCCCAGGCAGTGGGGTTCTGTGAATAAGGAAGGTGGTGAGCGTAGAGATGGGTCAGCTGTGGGAGGATCCGGGGCTGGCAGAAGGCACTTCCGGGTCAGCGGGGTGCTGGGGATGGGAGCTAACAGAGGAGGCCAGGAGGGGCTGGCATTTGGGCTGGGGACGCTGTGAGTCCTATGCAGTGTCCTGTCATACCTCCCCCTCTTTTTCTGCGTTGTACTCTCCTGCTGTCCCCAAGGCCAAGTTTGTTCCACTTGGTCTTAGCTTAGCTTTGGGGACTCAAAGGAAGGACCCAGGTCTAAACCTCGCAGCCGGGAAAGAACAGGTGTGGTGGCAGAAGTCAGTGCTGGGAGCACCTGCAGGTGGAGCAGTGGGAGCAGTTAGCAACCGGGACCGGATCCCCGGCACTGCTCTGAAATAAACTTAGGTGGACAGGAGGCTGGACCGAGGGGGAAGTGTGGCCCCAGGGCTGGAGACACCAAGCAGAGCTGGGAGAGCTGCTGGATCCTCTGAAGCAGAGGTCCCAGGGGATGAACCCTGAATCAAGGAGCTTCCTCTCACCACTCCCAAGCTGCCCGTCCCCTCCAGCACTCCTCCTTAATCTTGAGAAGGTAAGGAGGACACGGAAATGGTGGCCCCAATAGGGAAACCGTTTCTTTAAGGCTTTGTTGTGGGTTCCTCACTAAGCCGCAAACCTGCCCAGCGTCCCCAACACAGAAAGAAAACAGGCCGTGGAGGCAGCAGTGAGCAAACTCTTTACTCCTCGGATTCTCGCCCCTCGGCCCCCGCTGTGACCGGCACTCCCGCCCAGTCCCCCCTACAGGGGACAGTAAATACGAACAAAAATAGTTCTCTACAGAACGAAATGTCCAGGCCCCCCACCACCCCTTCCTTCTCTCCTCCTCCCCCAGACGGTGAGTTCCTTGGTCACCGGGCCTCCGGTGAGGCCTGGGGTCTGATGGGTTGCAGGAAAAATAAAGAATAGAAAACAGGACCGAGTTAGCGTCTGGAATTGTAGGCAACTGGAGGTCGGGGTCCGCCGCCGCCCGTGAGCCCGGCACAGGCCAGGGGTCGTCGGCCACAGTCCCGTGTGTGCACGTGTGGTGGGAGGCAGGACGGGGTGTGGGGCGAGCAGCGTTTCTCCTCCCGACCCTCTGGCTCACCACCAGCGGAAAAAAAAAAAAAAGAGAAAGACAAAAAAGGAACTGGGCAGCAGATAATACAAAACAAAAACGAAACCAAATCGCAGGTGCGGGGACCGGAGTTCCTAGGCGCCCCTGCTGCGGGGGGGAGGGCAGTGCGGGCGGGAGCGTGGGCCGGGCGGGGGGCCCTGCTGAGTAGCACCTGGGAGCAGCTTGGGCCGCACCCTTCTCGCCGCCCGGCCTCGGACGCCGGCTCCGCCCCGGGACCCCCGGCCCCCGGGTGCAGGGAGCGTCCCCCGGGCGGGGCTCAGCGGCTCAGGCGGGTGGCCAGCCCCAGCAGCAGCAGGCAGCCGAGCAGGGTGGCGGGGCGCGGGGCGGCCCCGGGCGCGTGGTCGCAGTCCAGGCCGCCGTCATCGTCGGCGGGGTCGCAGCGGGGCTGCTCGCAGCGCACGCCGGTGTAGCCGCGCGGGCAGGCGCAGCGCTGGTTCTGCAGGCAGGTGCCTCCGTTCTGGCACAGCAGCTGGTCGTCATCGCACACGTTGGCTGCGGGCGGAGGGGGCGGTCAGCACGGGGCGTGGCCCGGTCCCTCCCGCCCCACCTCCGAGCTCCTGCGAAGCGGGGTGTGCGAGCTCCTGGGGGCGCCGTCTGGGCCGGGGGTGTAGGAGGCTCCGGGAGCGCTGGGTGTGAAACGTCCCGCTGGGAGGGTAACGGCGCCCGGGCGAGATCGGGCCCCCGGCTGCCTCCCACCGCTGCCCTTCTCTCCCCGCCCCACTGGCCTCGGTGCGGTTCTTCAGACGCGCCTGCAGTCTCCAGAGCTGTGCACGTGCTGTTCCATGCGCCTGGAGCACCATGCCACCCTCTGCCTGCAGCTAACGCCGACTCGGACAGCCTCCCTCCCTCTGTCCCCGCAAAACCCTTTTCAACCAACCCCAGCTGCCTCTTTCTCGTAGTTCCCACCACGCACCACCATGCCCAAGATCGCATCAGGCCCCGCCCCGAGCTCTTCTTGGACCCGCCCCTCGGCCCGGACCCCGACCCCAGCAGCATTCTGTCCACGCCCACCTGCCCGCTCAGTATCGCTAGGCCCCGCCCACCGCCCCCAGCTCTGCCCCATCTCATCAGGCCGCCGCCAACTTCCAGGACCCTGCCCCGTCTCGTGAGGCCCGCCCACCTCCCCTGCCCCGTCTCGTGAGGCCCGCCCACCTCCCCTGCCCCGTCTCGTGAGGCCCGCCCACCTCCCCAGCCCCGTCTCGTGAGGCCCGCCCACCTCCCCTGCCCCGTCTCGTGAGGCCCGCCCACCTCCCCTGCCCCGTCTCGTGAGGCCCGCCCACCTCCCCTGCCCGTCTCGTGAGGCCCGCCCCCCTCCCCTGCCCCGTCTCGTGAGGCCCGCCCACCTCCCCTGCCCCGTCTCGTGAGGCCCGCCCACCTCCCCTGCCCCGTCTCGTGAGGCCCGCCCACCTCCCCTGCCCCGTCTCGTGAGGCCCGCCCACCTCCCCTGCCCCGTCTCGTGAGGCCCGCCCACCTCCCCTGCCCCGTCTCGTGAGGCCCGCCCACCTCCCCTGCCCCGTCTCGTGAGGCCCGCCCACCTCCCCTGCCCCGTCTCGTGAGGCCCGCCCACCTCCCCTGCCCCGTCTCGTGAGGCCCGCCCACCTCCCCTGCCCCGTCTCGTGAGGCCCGCCCACCTCCCCAGCCCCGTCTCGTGAGGCCCGCCCACCTCCCCAGCCCCGTCTCGTGAGGCCCGCCCACCTCCCCAGCCCCGTCTCGTGAGGCCCGCCCACCTCCCCTGTCCCGTCTCGTGAGGCCCGCCCACCTCCCCTGTCCCGTCTCGTGAGGCCCGCCCACCTTCCCAGCCCCGTCTCGTGAGGCCCGCCCACCTTCCCAGCCCCGTCTCGTGAGGCCCGCCCACCTCCCCTGCCCCGTCCCACGAGGCCCCGCCCACTTCCCCGGCCCTGTCCTGTCTTGCTAGGTCCCGTCCACCGTCCCGGCCAGGTCTTACTAGGCCCCGCCCACTGCCTCGGTCCTGCCCCGCCACCTTTCCGCAGGCTCCGCCCACGGGGGAACGGCGCGCACTCACGGTAGCAGCCCTGGCGCCAGTAGTGCGTGGGGAGGCAGTCGTCGCACTTGGGGCCCGCCGCGCCCTCGCGGCACTCGCAGAAGCCGGTCTCGTTGCACCGGTCGTGCACGGAGCCTATCTGGTTGCAGTTACACTCTGGACGGACACGGGCACGTGGTCAGGGCTACCTGTGGGCGCCGTCTGCTCGGACCCCCACTCTCCCGGCCTCGCAGCCGGGTCTCCGCACTCCCCAGGGGATGCTCCCCACACTTGGGTCCACGTGAGCCCGCGGCTGGACGGCGGGTGGGGACTGCCCGGGGTGTCCAGACCTGGAGGGAAGACTCCGGCTTCCTTCCCTGGGATCAAAAATCTCCCAGCCCCGCCTTCCCCGCCCTGGCTCTGGCGTGACCCGGGTCAGCCCCTTCCCCTTTCTGGGCAACTAGAGGGGTCGCTGACCCTTCCCATCTCCAAAGAGCTATGACTCCGACAGATGGCAGAAGCTCAGCGGAGGCCACTGAGCATGTCTGGGGCTGCTGTGCTGTGGGGGTGGCCCTCCTCCACAGCTCCTTTCCAGGGGAGTGGAGGAACAGCCTATTCCTGCTCCCGGGGGGGCCCAGTTGGTTTCCTTGGGGCTCTGCTTTGTGGGAGGGGGCGAATATCCTCCACCCTGAGAAACCTTGCAGCTCAGTGATGGCTCTGGGGGTGGAGGCAGGGAGAGCCAGGGAGAGGAGGACGGTGCCAGGGTGGGGGCGCCTCTAATTGGATCCAAAGGCCCTGCCCTGTCCCTGCAGCTGGCCCCCTGTGACGTCAGCGGCTTTGATCACTTAGAGTTGATGGAATTATCTGAAGGCTGCCGCCATAATTCAAACCGACAGCTCCAGCTTTGCAGGAGCCCCTCCTCTGCGCAGCCAGAGCCGCCTGCTGGGTGGGGGATGGGCGATGGTGTCCCAAGGGGCCTGGCTGGGCAGGGTTGGGGGACAGCCCCTGGGGCTGAGACCTGGCCTCTACTGACGACAGGGGCAACTATTCCAGGCTGGTGCGTTTTGGTTGGCAGTCATGGCTTTGGTCTTTGCCCAGGCCCAAGGCCCTGATGAACTTCCTTCTCTACCCCAAAGCCAGTCCTTGAGTAGAACTTGGAAGAAAGCAGACCGGGTGCCCACCGGGGGTGAAGAGCAGCTTTATATCTGGACCTCGGCTGGTAAAGCGTTTGAAGAAAAGCTTCAGCCACAAAAAAAGAGCTGAAAACTAATCTGATCTGCCTCCCGATTTGATGAATGAGGAAGCCGAGGCCCAGGGAGGGGAAGGCACCTGCCCAAATGTATGCAGCAAGGCCATCTTTTGGCCCCCAACTGGCCCCCAAGGAGGAGGGATAGGCTGTTCCTCCACCCTTCTGGAAAGGAGCTATGGAGGGGGACTGTCTCCCCCACCCCCCCACCGACACCAGCCCCAGACAGATGCTCAGTGGCCTCTGCCACTGAGTGCCTGCCACCTGCTACAGTCACAGCTCTTTGGAACCAGGAAGGGTCAGTGTCCCCTCCAGTTGCCCAGAGAGGGAAAGGCCACTGGTAAGTTTTGCAACTCCAGTGCCTGCCAGAGAACCGCAAGGGGAGGTTACTAATAGAGTAGCTTCTGGAGCTTTCTGTCCTTAGAGATGGAGTGGGCCCTGGAGTTAGAATTCCCACAGCCTCCCCAGGTGATTCTGATGCGGGGGGCCCCAGAGGGGGCACGCATTCCAGCAAGTTCCCTGTGCCGTGTCCGTGCCCTCTCACCAATGCAGACGTTCTCATCATCCAGCTCTGCCGAGCCGTTTCGGTAGTAGCCCAGCCGGCAGTGCTGGCAGTGCTGACCTCGCGTGTTGTGTTTGCAGCTGACGCAGGTCACCACATTCAGGAAGTCAATGTAGCTGCAGCGGTTGGAGTGACCGTAGCATTCGCAGTCTGGGGCGGCCAAGTAGGAAAAATATCAATGATCAGTGATAATTCAGGGAAACTGAGGCACAGGGCAAGGAAGGACTCACCCCAGGTCATGCAGGGAGGAAGGCACCTTTGGAAAAGATGGTGCCCTAGGCCTCCAACCCTTCTGTCAGATTCAGGAAGAGACAGGCCTCCCTGCTTTGAGCCCGGAGGAGAACCTGAGTAGGCTGAGCCCAGGGATTCCCACCTGGCCCTGTGGGCAGGGAACCAGGGAGGGCCAGTGGGCAGCACCTGCTAACGCCTGGCTGGGCACCAGGGCCAAGTGCTCACTGAAGGATGCCCGAGTGCTGGAGTGATTAGAAAGTGATTCATGCAAGGAGGGCGGGGTCATGCCACCTGGCTGTGCACTGGGGGAGGGTGGCGCCTGGGTTCACGGCGCTCCCTGTGGTGTCCTCGGGTGGATGAATGCATGGATGGACGCTGGACAAGATGCAATGGGCCAGGAGCTCCTGCCCATGCTGCTTTGGAAGATGGTTGGGAGGAAAATGCCCACCTGCTGGACCCTTTCTTATTAGCCTGAGCTTTCTGCAAGTTTGGTTGTTTTGCAGGATGCTAAGAGTGAGTGCCACTTTAAAGCAGGTGCCCCAGGAACCTGTTTGCCTCCCCCTGGCCCTGGCCCGGCTTGTGACTCGCTGCTCCTGGAAACACATGGTTTCATACCAAGGACCACCACCACCATGTCCTGCCACCTCCTGCACCCCACTCCTATGTGGTTCTCAGGTTGACCCCTGCCTAATCGGCTCCGCTCCGAGGACCAGACAAGCATGGGGCAAGGCTCTCAGGGACTGGAGGTGAACCCCACAATGTCAGTGGAGGATTTGGTAAGGTCACCATCCCTAAGAATGGGGGGGCATCCCTTGATGTTCCTACGAAGGGACACAGTATTCACCCGCCCACACACCCTCCAGCAAGAAAGCCAATGTGGCTGCCCCTGAACCAGGAAGGACACCGGCCACCCTCTTGAAACACCATCTGTGTATCTCTAGAGGACCCAGCTTCCCTTTTGTGATGGGATAAGGAGGGACTGACCCAGTGGTCAAGGGCATGGGAGACCCTGGAGAAGCAGCCTGTGCCCATGAGAGATGGTGGGCATTCCCACCTGTGGGCCACCTGGATTTGCCCCCTTCACTTTGTCCCTCCAGAGACAATGAGGTGAGGCATCCTCTAAGTGTCCCAAAGAGCAGCATTGGTGACCCGTGTGTCCCAGATTCTGCTTCAGCCAAGACGAGCCCCTGGACCACACCTCCCAGGGGAGCCAGGACAGGCTATTTCTGGCATCTGCTCTGCCCGCTGTGTGGCCTGCCCACTGTGCCCAAGTTGGCTTCTGACTCACACCTGCTCCCAGCTCCCTTGGGGAGGGAGGCCTGTAGGGAAGAGTGACTCAGTTTAACCTTGGCCCAGCTACTCCGGGAGGGTTTTCTGAGCCAGGCATTTGTCCTCTGTCCTGCACCGTCTTGTCCTGCACCGTCTTTTTCCAGTGACGGTTGGGGAACAGGTGGCAGGGAGGGCTGATGGGGCCCCAGGCCCATCCTCTTACCTTGGAATTCTTCAATAGGCATCACTTGAGGAGATTTGGGCTTGAGCTGGAAAAGTTTGTAGCCCTTGGCAGGGGCAGGGGCAGCAGCAGGGGTGCCCACAGCTTGGAGAGATGAGAAACAGGTTCTTTCGTCTGCCGTGGTCCCGCTGCCCAGGGAAGAGCCCAGCAAAGGCTTCCAAGCGGCCCTGGGCCAGCTCTAGGGCAGGCAGCCTTGTCACCTGCTCAGAAGTGAGGGAGGGAGAGGCCCCTCTGGCCTCAAATCACACAGCCCCTCTCCTCGAAGAGCCCAGGGAGATGGGGCCCCTTCCTGAAGGAAACACAGCACATCCCGAGCTCGCAAATCAGCCCTGCCCTTGGTCCCCTCTCTGAGACCATGGACACATCTGGCTGGATTACTCCCCAAAATGACTTCTGTAACCCCTGACACCCCCCGCGCCCTGCTAAGGCCTTCTTGGAAGCCGAACGGCTTTTAGACGGATTGATAGCGTGTTGCACACCTGTCTCTTGCTCTCCCCACCTCCTCTTCAAACTTCCGGGAGCATCAAACCCAGAGACTAAACCTGGCATTTAAGGACTTTGGCATCTCCCTTCCTTTCTGAAACAATCTTCCTGCTCCAGCCAAAGTGAATCCTTCGCTCTCCCTGGAGTCCCACTCGCAAGTGCTGTCAAGCCAGGAACAGCGACGCCCTGCCCAGCATCCCACCGGGGCCGCAGCGCCCTATCTGTGCGTGAGCAGGCCACTGTCCTGGAAGCGTCACTGCCTTGGCTTTCCCATGGGGGTCTGTGGCGGCATGGTGGGCCCAGGGCAGGGAAGTGATGGCTCCCGTCAGCTTTGTCTCGATCACCAGAGAGGACACCAGACCCAGGTCCTCCGGGTTTCTAGGAACCAACCATCCGACCCTCTCTAAATATGCTTCCAGCGCCAGAGCTTCCTGCCAGTAGAGGGCGCTCAAAGCCCGGCTCGCTGCTCAAAGCTGGGGCTGGAGGGAATTTGAACAGGTGAGCTGGAAGAACAGCTTACCGGTTCCCTAGACCTCAGGCCCTAATTCCCAGCCCAGGCTTGGTGAACTGGGGCCAGGGACCATTTCCCTTCTGGAGAGTCAGGCAGGCCTGCACGTTTCCTTGGCGTGTCTGTCTACGGCTACAGATGAGCCCGTGCGTCTCCTCCCATGTAACAGGAGGATGTCAGTGTCTTCCAGGATCCCGCCCCCCCGCCTTTAACCCACACATTTTCCACTTTGTCAGGCTCCCTACCATCCCACTGCCAAGCCTTTGCCCTGGCTGGTCCTGCGGCCTGGAATATGCCACCTTCTTCCTTCACCCGCCACAGTCCACCCTCTGAGGTCTCACGGCCCCCGCTCCTGCAGGAAGCTCCCTCTGACTTGCTCTGTGATCCAGCAACTGCCCTGGTGTCCTGTGAGCAAGGGGGAGCTGGAAAGGGGGGTTCCTGTCATGGGAGGCAGGACCTCCACTCGACTCTGAAACCCTTGGAGGGAGTGCTGGTGGAAGAGCTTGGCGTGGCGGTGCCACATGGAACTTCTCTAAGCAGGTGAAGTTTGGGGGCAGAGCTGGTAGACCTGCTCTACCAGGCCGCTCCCTCACCACCATGCCCTAGAGCTTCCCAGGCACCGACATTCTACACCCGTGCCCTCAGTTGGTTGCTGCGCCACCAACCCCCCGCTGACCCCAGGTCCCCACCACGCACCCCTGCTACTTCCACTACAGGGGGAGGGGCCTATGAGTCTAAGAGGGCGCTTCCCCGGGGTCTCAGGCCCATCACAGGCCTTGCCCCCATACCTTCTGCACGGGCGGCCACCTGGGACCACCTGCTTGAGAGCGGGGCAGCCGTAGATGGCCTGGTCCACTCTTGTGGGGAAGAAGAGAAGAAACCAAGTTATGTGAGGGGGTGGTGCTGAGGGAAGCTGGGCACTTACTGAGGCACCACAGCCCCGCACCCGACAGGCCCCTTAAAGCAGCAGCACTATCAGGAGAGGCTCTGTCTACACTGGCCAAAGGAACTGGGTCCAAATCTACTACAGAGGCAGCATCTACACTATTGCAGTCTGTGGACAGCACATACAGACTTAAAGCCAGATAGATGGGAGGTGGCCTCATGCCTGAGAATCTGCATATGCTTCAGCGAGACCCTTCTACACTCCCTGTGTGATCCCCGTTCTGACTGAAGGACAGAGCTAGGCCAGGTCCCGTCTCTGGGCCCAGACCTCTCTGAGCTGACGTCTCTAATGGCTGCAAAGTGGGGCACGTGTTCTGGCCAAGATCTTAGATGTGTCTGGAAGTATTCTGGAAGGCCTCCTTCCTGTCCAGCCCCCATCCAGGGACCGGAGCCTCCCCCAGCATCTGACTTGCTTCCCTGATCACCGCCCTTCTACCTTCCTGACCCCTGACCCCTGGCCTGGGCCCATTTTCACCAGGGACCCCAGCATGAATCAGCCCCCAAATGCCACAGTGCTCAGCCCCTAGACTAACAGGACCCCCAGCCAGGAAGGCAGGCAGGGCTGGCAAAGAACTGTCCTGTGCCCAAATTTCCAAGGACAAACCCAGGGGGACAGGGGAGGGCTGCTGTTTTCTCCTTCTTGAAGGGATTATACACAAGGGTGGCTGTGGGGAAAGAAAAGGAAAAGCTACCAGCTAACAAGGGCGGAAGACTTCCCAGCTGGGAGCAGAGAGCTTTGGACATCAATTGACTTTAATACGATGTTCAGTGGGAAGATGAGGCCGCCAGGCCCAAATTGGCAAGGGCTTAATTAGAGCCACGAGAAAGCCAGCCCTGAAGGCATTTGCTTCGGAGCCTGTCTCCCTCCACCCTCCGTGGCCCAGCCCAGGAGAGGATTAGTGTCTCCAGCGGCGTTTTCCGCCGCCAGCGCTGTCCTCCAGACAGCTTGACATTGGCAGGCGGGAGAAACATCTGGCCCAGGAGTTCAGAGGCCCAGCTGGACTCTGGTCAAAGAGCCCAAAGCACCTGTTGAGAGGCGTCCGGGGATATTCAGGATCTTTCAGGGACCAGGGTTTTGGGGAGGGAGAGAGTCCTAGCTGGGCTGCCCAGGGGCACAACTCAGGTGTGCAGGAAGCAAGTTCTCGCCAAGGCCTGTGTGCTGTGGCAAGGCCCCATGGAAGCCTGGTCTGCTCCTTTGGAACTGGGAAGCCCTGCAAGCCAGGCCTTAAAGATAGCACTACCTGGCTGGGCGCAGTGGCTTACGCCTGGAATCCCAGCACTTTGGGAGGCTGAGGCGGGTGGATCAGTTGAGGTCAGGAGTTCGATACCAGCCTGACCAGCATGGTGAAACCCTGTCTCTACTAAAAAGACCACAATTAGCTGAACCCGGTGACGGGTGCCTATAATCCCAGTTACTTGGGAGGCTGAGGCAGGAGAATTGCTTGAACCCGGGAGGCGGAGGTTGTGGTGAGCTGAGGTCGCACCATTGCACTCCAGCCTCGGCGACAAGAGCGAAGCTCCATCTCAAAATAAATAAATAAATAAATAAATAAAGATAGCATAGCCCCTGGAGGCCTCAGGGTAACAGCTTTGGGTGGCTGAGTTGGCGCACCCTGAGTTCAAATCCTGCCTGTGCCTCTCCATAATCCCGGGACATCGGGCAGCTGCCTCTTTTTTTTTTTCTTCTGAAACAGTTTGATTCAGGTATAATTTACATATCATAAAATCCAGCTGCGTCTTCCTAAGCCTCGATTCCCCTCACCTGTGGGACTAGGAAAATAACAGCCTCCATCTCACAGAGCTGTGACCCCAGAATATAATGATACGATGATAGGAGCACAGCCTTTAGCCCGGGAGAACTCACCCTCAGCAACTGCAATGATCGTTTTTATTAATGGGGGCTCTGGACAGGGGCTTCGGTTGCTGAAGAGGAGGGAGGAGCCCCTAGATGTGGGCTGTGGGGGCCACTGACTGTCACATTGAAGCCACCTCCTCCCCTAATGTCCTGCTTCTTGACACAGGGCTGAGGGTGCAGAGCAACACTGTCTTGCCGAGAGGGAGGGTATGCCTTCTGCTCCCCGAGGGGATCCTGGGGATCCTTGCCTCCCCCACATGTACCACTCCGGCCTCTGACTTTTCCTCTTTAATTCCCAACTTTGCACAATCTGCCCAGCCTCCCACGGCTGCCCTGGCACCAAGTCAGAAGCAGCTCCGCAAATGGATTCAAGGTTCCTCTGTGTGTGCGTGTGTGTTTGTGTACGTGTGTGTGCATGCATGTGTGTGTGTACGTGTGTGTGCATGCATGTGTGTGTGTGTACGTGTGTGTGCATGCATGCGTGTGTGCGTGTGTACACTTGCACATGTGATATGGAGAGTATCTGGCCTCCCAGCCAGACCACTGTTTGGAGGCAGGCACAGCACCCACCACCACTGTTTTTGCTTCTGTCTGCCCACCACAGGCTCAGTAGCCAAGCACAGCTCCCCTGTGGCTGGGCCAACCTATGTCTGAAGTCCAGAATTCTCAGAGTGACCCACGTCCTCCACCCCAAGGAGGATTCCTGGGCCAGGAGGCTTCCCTGAAATCCTCCAATCTTTTGGCTACCCCTGCCTCCTGTAAATGCCTCGTGCAGAAAGGGAAGGATGTAGAGAGAAGTGGGATGTGCTGCCCCCAGGGGAGCCGCTCCGGATGGCCTAGGAAGGAGGAGGTCTTTCTCTCAGCATTTGCCCCCGCCTGGGGAGCCTGAGTGCCCATGCAGCAACAGGCCAAGGCAGGAGCTGACGGAGGGGACTCTGCCCTTCAGAAATGCCACCCCTCCAGGGGGAAGGAGCAGTGGGGCAGGTCCTCTTGGATCAGAGAGAGGGAGGGCCAGGGCACTACCCAAGGGGTCAGGAGTCCCCACCAGGTCCTCCCTGCAGGGAGGTGGGGGACAGGATATGGCAGGTTATTGGAGCACCCCTCCCCGGCTGGGACCAGGAAGAATTCCCCTTGGTCATTGTCTTCCTGGAGCCCTCTGGGAAGGAAAAATCCTTTCAGACCCCTGGCACCTGCAGTGCGCAGAGTCCAGGGACACTCCCAAGGTGAGTCCAGGTGAGAGCAGAGGCCCACCCCAGCACCCCCAGCCTTGAATGTATGCGAATCCCTCCTTCGGAGGGGAGTGAGAATCAGGTTTCCATGCTTGTCTGTGGCAGACCCCTGAGGGGGCAGGACGTCTGGCCCTGGCCTGGCCTTGCGCTACACACGCAGCCCCCACATTCCCAGCAGCCAAACCCAACTCCAGAGGCTCCCTCTGGCCTGCTAATCAGAGACGTTTGCTTTCTGGGCTAACCCTGCTCCATCCATCGCACCGGTGCGCTGCTGAGGGGTTAAGGACAGAGAGGCCCTGGGGGCCAGGTGGGGGCAGGGTGTGGGCGGGGCTCCAGCAACCGTGGAGGCAGAAGCACCACTGGGAGACAAGGCCGGTCTTTGGCTGCATGTCAGGATGGCCTTGCTGCCCCCAGCACCTTTCCTCCCAGTTCCTGCAGCTGTCTGGCCACACTGGTCTGGGAGACCTTCTAAGCAATGGCTTGAAGGGCAGGAGGAAGACGATTTCGGAAGCTGAACTGACCACTGAATCCCCTGGTTGGGCTCAGGAACAGGTTGACCCAGGTGACCTGGAAGCCCCTTTGGCTTGTGGCCTCCCAGCTCTAGGGTTGCAGCGTCTCTATTCTAAGAGCCAAGCCCCTGCTCTCCCGCACAGGGCTGCCAACCCTCCCACCCCAAGAGAGGCGGGGACGCAGGCTAGAAGCAGGAGAGGGTGGGATGGCAGGGGTCACTGTACCCTGGCACCCACCTGTGGGCTGTGGGGTGCTGGGAGCCGTGGGGGCCCAGGCAGTGGACGTGGAGGGGACAGGAGTAGTGGGAGCCCCTGTCATGGCTGTGGTGGCCGCAGTGGCCACAGGGCCTTTGGGGTCGGGGTCTTTCTGGGACCCGCTGATGCCTGGTGAGAGATGGGAAAAGCAAGAGAGGGTGGGGGGGTTGCTGGGGTGGGGACACCACAGAGAAGTAACTTACGACGGCTGTGCAGGCCCGCGTCCCTGGCGCCCTCTCGGCCCATTGGCTTCCCAGCCAGGGGCCCTCTGGGTCCGGGAGGGACAATGTGGGTGGGATGTGGGGCCCCACGGAGCCCTGGTGGAGGCCGACAGTGCACCCCAGAAGCATTTCTGAGATTTGGGGTCTGCTCCCGGCTGGCTCTTTGACATTGGCCAGCCCTTTCCTGCTGCCTCTCGGAGCAGATGGCGACCTCCCGGGGGAGGGGTTTGCAAGGCTGAAATGAGAGACTGTGCCCGGCGCCCTGTGAGTGTTTGGGGACAGTCTCGATGACATTCACTGATAATCTGCGGGCACCATGTCGCCCTCACCCTCCTGGGGAACTCTCAGGACCCCCACCTCCTGCGGATGCCCCTCCTTGGTCCAACTCCCCTGGGACCTGAGCTGACCTGGACGAGCAGAGCCCTGGGCCAAGCTGGCTACAGAGGCTGCTCAGAGGGAGGCTGCCCCCACGGTCAGGCTGGGGGGTGGATTCTACCCCTGGTGGAAGGTCACCCCACTCTTGCCTGGCAGGAGAGACTCCTCTCCCAGATCCAGGTGAGAGAAGAGGCCCGGGCGGGAGGAGCAGGGAGCCCACCCGGGGCCAAGGGACCTGCAAAAGGTCCTGTCCCGTTTTCCAAAGCAGCACTGATGGAGCTCCTGGGAGAGCCTGAGACTTGCTGGACAGCAGGCCACAGCAAAATGACACATGACACATGGCATATGATGTGGAGGGGAGAGGTGGAGGGGGGAGAGGTGGAGAAGCAGATGGGGTGTAATTAGAGGACGGAGTGAATAGGCCCAAGTCCCAGAGGGGACACCGAAGCCCCTTTTTTCTCTCCTGCTTTTTCCAGGACATGCAAAGAGGGGCCCTGGCCGTCCTCCCTGGGCGTATACTTACTGCCAAAGGAACCTGCAGCAGCACCTGCGGGAGAGAGAGGGGCGTAAGCTGGCTGCCCCAGGGGAAGGCGCCTGGCTGTCGCCTCCCTGCAGAGGGGCCAGCAGGCCAGGGGAGGGCCTGGAGGTGCTCCTCCCTCAAGAGCACCTGCTGCACCACACAGCTGCTAGCAATGATGACCTGCAGGGTGTGGGGACCGGGGTGGATTATCCAGTTCCATCCTCACGGCAGCCTTGGGAGGGAGGAACCACTATTGGCCCATTTTGCAGATGGAGACACTGAATCTCAGAGCGGTGACTTGCCCTTGGGGACATGCTGACAGGTGCCAAACGCTCCACTGGGAGCTTCATACACACTCCTATTTTAGATTTTTGGGCCCTCCAGTGCAGGACAAGGACATTGTGTGGAGTGTTCCTGTCTAAGAAGTGCAGTGTGGCTGGAAAACTCGCTGAGAAACCACGGGAACGGCCGTCGCGGGTGGTGTGCGTCCCACGTGCCAGGCACGGTGTCAGCATCCCCTACATGAACTGTGCCGTCCTCATAAGAACCCCATGAGGGAGTTTCCTTACGGTCCTGATTCTACAGCTGAGGACACGTGGCTGGGGGAGAAATATAGCTGGGAGTGGGCGAGGCCTGACTCGAATCTGAGTGTCTTTGTGTGTCCAGGGGATGGGGGAGGCCTATGATCCTGGTGTGACCAGGGGCCTCAAAATCCTGGAGTGAGATTCATCCCAGTTGCAAAAGGAAGGAGCTGGTGCCACAGCTTTCTCCACGGTGTTCCCAAGAAAGGACGCTGTGGGATCAGCAGTGGGACGTGTGGCTCATGGACTTCTCCTGGGCCTGGGAGGACGAGCCTATCCCCACCCATTCCTTCCTCCACCTCTGGGCAGGCACCTGCTAGACCCTGAGGACACCTCAGGGTGCAGCCACAGTAAGCACCACCAGGACTGGGTGGTGACTAAGTGAGGCTCTGTGGGGACAGGCGGGACATCAGGCAGGGCACAGGGAGGTCCTGGGGCCTCTAAGTTGGGCCCTGGGGGGTGATGATGGGCTGGCCAGGTGGGGGCAGAGGGGTAAGGAGGTGGGAAGACATTGGGCTTGAGGGCTGCTGCAGGGCTGAGGGTGGCATTGGGAGAGACCTGGGGGGATGGAGGGAAGTTGGAAGAACGTGGGGGGAGGAGGGTCTCCAGTCAAGGTGACCCCCAGACTTGCAGCTTGGCCCCGTGTATGTCGGTGCCACTTACTGAGAAGGGGTCACAGCAGGGGCAGGGTGAGGGCAAAATTAGCCTCTGTGTCTCCTTGGGCTGTTTCCTGTTGGTGCCCCAGAGAAGGCAGGAGACCCAGGTGCTGAGGACAGCAGCGCCTGCAAATATCAGAAGAAACCCCTCCTTCCTGGGGCTTGGGGGCCTCAAAGGCAATTCCCAGGGACTCCCAGGGAAGCAGGAGGTGGGGCCAGCTCCAGGAGTCTCCCCTAAATAAGGAAGCCCCAGCTGCGCAGTCCCTACAGGCCTGTCTGTCCATCGCTGGCTAGACCGGTGGTGGTGAGGGTGGGGACAGTGGGTCCTCCTAGGTGTGACCTGCAGCTAAGTGTCTCAGGTGGCCAGAGACGGGCAGAGGGAGGCCTTGCAGAACCTCCAGATGCAGGAGGCAAGTGGAAGAAGAAAAAAGTCAGAAATGGCCAGACATGGTGGCTCATGCCTGTAATCCCAGCACTGGGAGACTAAGACAGGAGGGTTACTAGAGCTCAGGATCTCGAGACCAGCCTGGGCAACATGGCAAAACCTTTTCCCTACAAAAAACACAAAAATTACCCGGGCCTGGTGGCATGCACCTGTGGTCCCAGCTACTTGGGAGGCTGAAGTGGAGGATCGCTTAAGCCCAGGAGGTTGAGGTTACAGTGAGCCATGATTGCGCCACTGCACTCCAGCCTGGGCAGCAGAGTGAGAAACCTATCTCTAAGACAAAAAAAAAAAAAAAAAAAAAAAAAAAAAGAGGGCATGATGATGGAGAGAACGGAGGCAGAGAGGAGGGAAGGGAGAGAGGCCCTCAGGATAGACAAAGGGGAAGCCAATTTGTGAGTCAGGGAGAGAGTGACAGCCACTAAAGAGAGACCTCAGGAAAGGGTTTGGACCACAAAGAGATGGGGATGGCAAGCTGGGAGGAGGCAGTGGCTGGAGTGGGCTGTCAGCCCCCGGAGCGCTCTTTGTGCCTTTGAAGACCTGAGAGTGCTGTTTGGTGCCTGCCAAGTCACCCCTTCAAAGGCCTGTCTCACCGCCTGCTGCAGCACACGCGTGACATGCCTGTCATGGCCTCTGCACATGGCTCTCAGCTTTGATCAGCCTAAAGTCACATAAATCTTCCACCCGTCGAGGGAGGATGTCCAGATGGGGTGCAGGAGCCCACTGCCCAGGCCTGGTGTGGGCATCAGATCCAGTAGCTGCCCTAAGCCCTGGCATTGGCACGCAACTCACTGTGAAACCTGGGAGGACCCCGAGGTTCGCTGGGCCTCAGTCTGCTCATCTGGACAATGGAGCATAATAAGGACTGCGCCCTATGGGGCTGTGTGAGGTGGAAGCGAGATACACAAAGTGCCCAGGAGGGCCTTGGGCACCAACCACGCACTTGAGAACGGCCAGCATCTGTAAAGTGGCAACGGTGGGGGTCAGGGAGAGCCCACCCCAGGGGCAGTCTGTGGCCTTCTCCACTTGCAGCCCAGGGGCTTCCTGAGTGGGGGTCCTCCGAAGGGGGACTATGATGCAGATGCGAGTGGGCAGACCCTGAGGATGGCTCCCTGGCATGGCTGGGCGAGGACAGGAGAGGGGTGGGCAGAGAGCATGTGCGGGGGACTCTGGTGCAGGCCATAGAGGACACATCTGTAAAATGGGATGACAGGAGCTCAGCTCCCAGGGGTTGCTCTGAGGATGGAGGAAGTGCTGAACACGCAGCACTTGGCTTTTGTGGCTTGCTCCAAACACCCCAGAGATGCTCATGATCAGGGATGATGCTACTGATCCCCTCACCTGAAGTGGGGGTCCCACCTCATCACTCCCTGCCATCCCACGGGGGCCTCCTGCCAGGTGTCAGGGTTAAGAAGGGGAAGGGCTACAGAAATGCTGCTCATCTCGGGTTTCCCTGCAGACCAGGGCTGGAAGGGCAGCTTAGCGTTCGGCAGGATGCAGGTATGCTAGAGGGACCTGTTACAAGACCTGGTGCTTGGGAGCTGTAGAACAAAGTGTGTGTGTGGGGGGCATGCATGCATGTGTGTGTCTGTGCATGCACGTGTTTGTGCATTTATATGTATGCCCATGCCTGTGCATGCATGCTCGTATGTTTCTGCGTGCACATGTGCATGCAGGTGCACACGTATGTGCCTGTGTGCAGGTATGTGTGCGTGTGTATGATCCACAGCTCCTGGGATTGATGGGCGGGGAAGACTACAGTCATGCAGGCTTGTGGCCCCGGGGAGTGGCACGTACAGGCATTGGGAGAGCCGTGGGGCAGCGGCAGGTAGGAGCCGGCCCGCCAGGACCGGGTGCGGAAATTCTTCTTGCACTTGCCGCAGTCGGGGCCGGTGGTGTTGTGCTCGCACTCGCACTGCAGGCTGCCCTCTCGCATGGAGCACAGGTTGGCATGCAGGTTGCACTTGCACCTGGGGACACACCGAGAGGGCAGAGATGTCAGAGAGCTTGTGGGCAGCCTGGCCTGGCCTCTGGGGAAAGGAGAGCCTCCCAGGAGGGGCCCAGGAAGAAACCCTGGAGGCCACCAGCCTAACCTTTAGGCCAGAAACTCCTTGATTCCCCTTCCTGCGGAGAGATCAACGCCGTGTTCCGAAGGCCACCGCTGCACTCACTGCGCGGCTCTCCTCTCCGCTCCGATGCTGGTTTCAAGGATTCCTCACATCTCAGTCGGGGAGAGTGATGGTACTCCCTTGTCCCTGATGCTAGATTCTTAGTAATGCAGCTTCTGATCACCTAGCTTTTGACTGAGGTGGGTTGATGGGTGGCAGAGGCAGCTGCCAGCCCCTGGTGGAGACAGGGACCTGGCCACGGGCTGCACCTCACTGTGTAGAAAGGCACCTGGCTTCGGGCTGGACCTCTGCTGTCAGCTTGTGGTCCACGGCCACACCCTTGAGAGTGACAGAACCCCCAACTCCCACACCCCCATCAGGTCATTCACACATGTATTATTCATCCATTCATTCAAATATTTATAGGCGACTCATTATTCTGAAAGCTGGTAAATAAAGGGAAAGAATCAAGCATTTCTCCTGCCTGTCCTATATAAACTGTACCTCGGGGTAACCGAAAGTTGATGAGGGGAAGCTTCTTTTTTGTAGAAGCATTTCACAGGAGAATTTGCAGTCCCTGATGAATGAATGGCTCCAGGCACTGAGCCGCACCAGCCCAGAATTTCCCACTGAGAGGCCAGCAGACAGTGAGCGTCTCTAGAACACACCCTCACCCGAAGCCAAAGCAATTGAACCTGAATCAGATCAAGCCTCTAGACCGAGCTGTGAGCACATAAGAAAGACAGAGGACAGAGCATCACCCTGAACGACACCAGGGGACGCCATCTGCAAGATCTGGACTGGAGGAATCTCCGGCAGTAATCATCCACTTTTTCCAAGGGACGAGTTGACTGGAGAAAAAATTGATATGGAAAAAGGATGGACCTAGAGCAGGAGAAACCTCAAAAGTATACCAATTAATGGCAGACGTGAAGCTCCTCTGGCCCTTGGTTCAAACATCCTGTAAAATCAAACACGCAAACAAATGGAACGTATATATATGAGATAACTGGAAATTTGGACATTGCCTATATTAGATGATATTAAATTGATGTTTACTAGGTGTGATGATAATATCGTGGTTATGTTTTTTAAAGTCCTTATGTTTTAGAGAACCACACAGGCCAGGCATGGTGGTGCGTACCTATAATCCCAGCACTTTAGGAGGCTGAGGCAGGAGGATAGATTGAGCCCAGGAATTTGAGGCCAGCCTGTGTAACATAGTGAGATCCTGTTTCTACAAAAAAATAAAAAAATTAGCCAGTGTGGTGGCGCATGCCTGCAGTCCTAGCTACTCAAGAGGCTAGGGCGGGAGTATCCCTTGAGCCCATGAGTTCGAGGCTTCAGTGAGCCATGTTTGCATCACTGCACTCCAGCCTGGGAGACAGAGCAAGACTCTGACTCCAGAAAAAAAAAAGAAAAAAAAAAGGGCCGGGCGTGGTGGCTTACACCTGTAATCCCAGCACTTTGGGAGGCCAAGGCAGGCAGATCACCTGAGGTCAGGAGTTCAAGACCAGTCTGTCCAACATGGTGAAACCCCATCTCACTAAAAATACAAAATTAACCAAGTGTAGTTGTGCATCCAGTAATCCCAGCTACTTGGGAGGCTGAGGCAGGAGAATCACTTGAACTCAGGAGACAGAGGTTGCAGTGAGCCATTGCACCACTGCACTCCAGCCTGGGAGACAGAGTGAGACTCCATCTCAAAAAAAAAAAAAAAAAGAAAAAAAAAAAAGAGAGAGCTACACATAGAAATATTTACAGATGAAACTATCTGATGGGCAGAGGTACAGATGAAACAGGAAGGTTCACTAGTTGATAACTGCAGTCAAGAGGTACACAGAGGTTTGTCATAGCAGATTCTGTCTTCTTTTGTGTTGGAAATTCTCCATAACAGAAAGTGAAAGAGAGAGAGTGTGTGCTCTATATTCTGAGATGGGAAGATTTCCAAGATATATTGTCAATATTTGGAAAAAGCAAATTGCAGAACAATGGGTTTAGTAGAATCCTATTTTTATTAAAAGATGCAAAGAAAAATATTTATCAGGCCCCTGTTATGTGGCAGGGGCTCTGAGCTGGGAACAGTGAGTATAATGTCAACAAAGCAGATGGCTCCCTGCCCTAATGGTGCTTTGGGTCTAGCTGGGAGACCATGAACAAAATCAGTGATTGGAGGGGACAGGGAGGGAGGATAAATAGGTGGCAGACAGGGATTTTTTGGGTGGTGAAACCATTGTTTATGATGCCACAATGGTAGATACCTGGCATTATGCATATGGCAAAACCCACAGAAGTGTCCAACACAGAGTGAGTCCTGATGTAAACAACAGGCTCTAGTGAATGCTACTGTATCCATGTTAGCTCATCATTGTAACACATATACTCCACAATAGGGGAAACTGTGCAGGGGTGGTGGGGAAATGGGAACTTTCTGTACTATCTGCTCAATTTTCTGTAAACTTAAAACTGCTCTAAAAATAAAGTCTATTAATTATAAAAGTAAGAATCACACACCTCTTCAAGTGTTCATTTCAACCGTTAAAAGAGCCCATGTGTTGTGCAAAGAAGGCACTAAGGGAGTCCAGGATTTTCAGGAAGAACAGTTTTAAACTAAGACCTGAAAGAGGATCAAGAGTTGCTGGGCCAGAAGGGGAGAACCTTCTAGAAAGAGGCAAGAGCATGAGGAAAGCCCTGGGGTTGAAAGGAGTTCCACCCGGGAGGTCTGCAATGAGGCTGGGGGGTGGAGGAGGCCAGACCAGGAGACAGAGGTGGGATTTTACTCTGCAAGCCTTTGACAGGTTAAGTGTGTCCTGCTCTGGGCCGTATTTTATATTGCTGTGGCCGCTTCATGGAGACTGGTTTGTCTGGGAGACAAAAGCCTGGGCAGGGAGAGACCAGTGAGACCCTGTGAATAGAGGCCTGGACCAGGGCAGGGCACCTGGTCCCACCCGTCGTGCCTGGGGTGCGGGGCATCTTTTTGTTTTTTGAGACAGAGTCTCACTCTGTCACCCAGGCTGGAGTGCCATGGCACAATCTTGGCTCAGTGCAACTTCCGTTTCCCCCTGACTGGCGCTCGTCCATTCAGAGATTGTCTTGAGGATGTGTAACTGGCATTTTCTTCTCTCTTCATGCTCCCCTTCCACTGCGCTGGGTGAGGATTTTTGTTTTCTCACCTCACAGTCCCCAAATCCTCCTGGACACCACAGGCTGTGAATCTCCCTCCTCGCGTCCGGCCTCCCTCATATATCAGTCCTGCCAGGCGCTTCATCTGAGCCCTCCTCCCTCGGCTCTGCCCCGCCTCTGTCCCCATCTGACTGGGAATGAAGGGTCCTCTGGGGAGCACCTTCCAGAGCAAGGATCTGAGTGGGGAAACAGTGGCCCCTGCATCCACCAGCCCTGGGGCTCCCAGGTAACCCCCATCTGCCAGTTTTGGTCACCAGGGCTGCCTTCTTCCTCAGGGGCTTCTCTCTGTCCTCGAATTATCCTGCAGAATGGTTAGGGAAATTATGGTACATCCAGGCGATGGAATCCTTTTGTTTTTTGAGACAGGGTCTCACTCTGTCACCCAGGTTGGAGTGCCGTGGCACAACCTGGGCTCACTGCAACTTCTGCCTCTCGGGCTCAAGCGATCCTCCCTCCTCAGCCTCCCGAGTACCTGGGACCACAGTCTCGTGCCACCATGCCCGGCTAATTTTATTTTTACTTTTTGTGGAGATGGGGCTCCCTGTGTTGCCCAGGCTGGTCTCAAACTCCTGGGTTCAAGCAATCTGCCCACCTCAGCCTCCCAAAGTGCTGGGATTACAGGTGTGAGCCACCGTGCCTGGCCTAAAGTCCATGTCTTAGAAATGTTATTTAGAAGCATGAGGTCAGGCGAGGGTGGAGAAGGTGGTGGGTTTCTGAGCTCACGCCTTTCCTCCCAGGAGAAGGAGAGAATCCGCAGCCCCTGGACGGGCCGTGGGAGAGGGGGGTACTCGGGAACCCACCGCTTTAGGTTACATGTGTCCACTGTGCTGTGATGCTCAGTTTCTAGGACGAAGGACGTCTCTGGAATTCTGTGGAACAGAATTCCAAGGCAGAGCAAGAGCCCTGGCCAGCAGTGCTAGCCACCACTGAAGTCTGTGTTATTTTAACTCCATCTTTCCCTGAGAGCCTGGACACTAACCCTGCTGAGGTTTTGCTGCAACACCAAGCTGAAATAAATAGAGCATTAAAAAGCCTCTTCACTCTTTGCCTGGCATTCCCGTCTCTCCATTGCCACACGCGTGCTGCAGGACTGCTATATGCTTAGCTCTGGTAAAGGCACAGAGGAGGACAGCAGGCACCTATTGGTACGGGCAGCCCTTCTCTCTGGAGACGCCAGATCCCAGAGATGGCACAGAAAGTTCCCATGCTTAAACCTTTTTGGTCAAGCATATGATGCCCTCCAAATCCCCTGACATCTGCTCCTTGATCCCACCTCACTCCACTGAGGGTCATAGTACGTCTCAGCAGATTAAAGGCTCTGACAAGACCTGCAGGGAAGAAATCTGTCTGACTTTGTCTAATAAGAGTTTGTCTGCAAAATCTGACCTGGGGAGGTTTTAATTTCCTTCTTCTGAATTCCTGTCTAACACCCCCCTGAGCTGGCCGGAGAGGAGCACTGCAGCTGTATGGAACTGGGGATGTGCTCGGCACTGCTGGCCTGAAGAAGGGATATTTTTAGATACCAGCTACAGAAAGAAAAGATTGCCATCAACTTTGGGCGATCACATTGACCTTGGCTTAGTAAAGATGCATGGAAGACCGGCTGATTCCAAGAAGCATATTGTAACGGTGATAATAGGTAGCCACTGGATGTCGGAGTTGGACAGCCTGGGTGGTGC